CCACTGGTTGATATGCATCTAGTTTAGCTGTCAATCTATTTGTTATTATTCGGGTTAGTAGTTTGTAAAGGTGTGACAATAAGCTTATTGGTCGGTAGTTTTCTATATTTGCGGCGTCCCCTTTTTTATGGAATAGAATGACTTCCGCATTTTTCCATGTCTTCGGTATTTGTCCTTCCAATAGGCATTTATTCAATAATGCTCTTATTGCCTCTTCTAATGCAATGCCTCCCATTTTTAGCAGCTCTGAAGTAATTTTATCTTCTCCTGGTGTTTTCCCATTTTTCATTTGTTTTAGGGCGGCTCTAATTTCTGATGTTGTTATTTCAAGGAAGTCCTCTGAGCCCACATTTAAGATATGTTTTATTGGTATACCGGGGTTCGGAATAGTAGAAGTATACAGCTTCTCATAAAATTTTCGAATTTCTCTAACGATCTCTTCCTTATGCGAGCACAATGTTATGTTTATGATTTTATTCTTGCCAGTGGATTTACATGTTTTTACTACTTTCATGTTCTTATTGTTTTCTATGGTTTCAAGAATCTGGTTTGTTTTATAAGCTCTGAGCTCTTTTCGAATATTTTTCTTGAAACTTTATAAACTTTTTTTTTGTAAAACTTTGTAAACTTTATAAAGCTTTATAGTCCGGGTTATCTCTGTTCGTTCTTCTTTTTTTCTCTATCTGTTGTAGAGTTTCGGGTTTTAGTTTAGCTTCCTTTTGTTTTCTTATTCTGCAACAAAGTTTCTTAGTGACTGTTTGTATGTCTTTAGTTATTTTCTCAGCTAGTTCATCTATATTCTTGTGCTTAAAGGAATTTGCTACTAGTTTTCGTGCTAATTTCTCTTGGTATTTTTCTTTATTACTGGCTAGAATGTCTGCCGTCGGTAAAGGGTTTGTTGTTAATAGTTTTCGTCTTTCTCTCTTTGCGTTAATACGTATATCAGCACGAACTAGTCTATGGTCACTGCCGGTGTTAAATTTGTTCAATACCTCGTTGTTTTTACATATTGATCTATCACTAAAAGGGATAAAATCTATTTCATTTTTAACCTGACCGTCAGGGCTACGCAATGTCCACTTTCTTTGTATTTGTTTTTTATAGAACGTGTGCAGGTAAAACATTTTTTCGGTGCTTACGTAATTTACTAATGTCTCTCCTCTGGTGTTTCTGTTGCCTAGACCGAAATTTCCTATGTAGTCTGAGTCACCTTGTATTCGCCGCCCTATTTTTGCATTGAAATCCCCGGTGATGATAACATAGTGTGTTTTTTCTAGGTCTTTAGCTCGCGTTATATCTTCGTAGAGTTGTGCAATTGACTTGTCATCTGCAGTGAAAGTTGGAGCATAGCAGTGTATTATCTGTAAGCTATATCGTTTATTCAGTGGTTATACAAGATATATCACTCTTTCCGACACTGCTGAGTATTTCACAATCTGGTGTTCTGTTCTTTGGTTGACCATGAAAGCCACTCCTCCTTGGCTGTGGTTCTCTTCTGAATTATATTGGTATAGGGTGTGCCCAGATGTTAGGGTGGTCTTTTTCTCTCCTTGAAGTCTCGTTTCACATAAGCTTACAATATCCTATTTAATAGCCCTTAGTTCCTGCTCTAATTCCTCTAGATGGTCGTTCGTTCTCATAATTCTAATGTTGTATGTAGCAATTTTAAAATTTTGAGAATTAATTTGTTTATTTTTGTCATGTATTTTCGATCTTCTGCCTCCCCCAGAATCCGTGAGGCAGTCCATAGTGGAGTGGGATTCTGAGATATAAACTCTACCCACCTGGGGTACTATATTTTTAAATTTCGATTTATGCATGAATATATTAAAGGGAAATGGCAGTTAAAACGCCACGCTTGCCGAGCGGATTGGCGAGTTTAGGTTTCAGCCACATCCTGGAGTCAGACGCTGTTTGCAGCCGTCCATTCTGGATCAGACGCTGCTTGATTTTATACCAGCCCTAAAATCACGGGATTGCCACTTCCGCCATCCACACCGTACCGAAGGTTTGCTTCTCCGCCGTGATCTGCCGTTGTGGTATTTTATTATTCGTGTTATATTATGACACAACCTAATCTCAATCGGTGATATTTACCTACAGTGAAGTACAGAATAACATATCTAATGAATTATTAAAACAAAAAATGAAAATACCTGACATTCCTTCTTTTTCCCCTGTACCCTTCATATATGATATATTTTTCAGTATGTATGCTATTCGGTCTGTGCAGCTGACGGAAGAGGATATATTCGCTCCGTGCGTGACTGACGCGACACCTACCGCCTTCATCTGACAATTTGGGACCTCCCAATTTTCAGGTTAAACATATGACATATGTTTGACGTTGTTATATACATGCGAAATTGACAATTATTAATAAATTAGTTTTTTAACTATTTTTTTTTCAGTTTGTGTACAAAATAAATGTAGTATTAAAAACTGGGTTTCTCAAAATTCATCATAATATATCTTTTCAACTCCAAACGGAAAAGAAAGGGAAAAATCTAGTACTGGCAAATCAAGTTTTTCACGCAAAAGAGCTTATAATTAAAAACAATAATAGTAAAAGTTATGATATAAAAGCTAAAGTCATCTGCATTAACCTAGAAGGCTTATGAAATATCATTCAAGGTAAATTATTTAAATTTTTCCTATTTCAATTGCATAAAAATGAAATTATGTAATATTTACTTTTTCATATTAATAGCACGAATTCATCTTTTTCTTTTCTCTAATTTATATGTAATCTTTGGGAACCTATAAAAACTACACTCACTGTTTTTGCTATTATTAGCACAATGAAATATTATTAGCACACAGTTTTGATAAAATTTATGAGTGAAAATATTTTGTCCTATATTCCAATTTTGTCATATTTCGCCGCAACGCACGCTGGCATCGTTTCAATGTACCCCTACCATCGTCGCGCACGGGGCGAATACGTCACGTTTAAAGCGCTCATATCGGCCAAATTTGTCACCATCGTAAGGTTTTTCTAACTCATAATTATACATTATAATTATTGTTCAAAACGCTAGTAATATTTGTTGCGTTGCAAACTGCTACAGTAAAAGTAAAAGTTGCACTTTTTATCGTTTTCCGAGTCAAACTAATAAAATGCATCAATGTAAACTGTGGATTGTTTATGATGCTATAAGGTATTAATTATTTATATAGAAAGTAACTTTTATGTAAAAATTACTGTAAGTTAAATTCCACATATCGTTACAATCTATTAACTATGTTATAAAAGGTTTCCGTAAAATAATAAAACTATTACAATAATATATAAATATAATTTTGTCTTCAATTCAATTCAGCTTGTCATTTGTTTGTGATGTGGTATTGTGGATCTTTATTGTTTCACAGATATGGGTGTTGCTTATAAAGTTCGATAAATTCAGTAATAATTTCATGGTTTGCCATGGCGCCAGGTACACACTACGCTGATCGATAATTTTATATGACTAAGACTCATGATACTATAACAAAACAAGATAAGTCAACGCGCATGTTCTTGTGACGTAAGCCTGAGACAAGTTGTCAAAATGACAAATTGACAAAATTAATGACAGCAAATTAAACTTTAAAATTAAATATAAATTTTTCATTTGATGCAATTCTAGTTTTATAAATAAAAAGAATTAATATTAATAACAGCAGAGAATTAATATATCAATATTATAACAGCAGAGTAAAATTTACTTTACTTATTAATTAGTTATTAAATTTACATTTAATGTTTCTATAGATAATAATAAATGTTTCTATAGATAATAATATATACTAATGCCCATTTTAATAGAACTTGAAGTAATACTTTACTTTTGATAGGTCTTTAAACAAAATTACTTTGGATGTATGTAGTGAACTGGAACATATTTTTCGTAGTTATAATGGCGACACATTAAAAATAACAAAAAATTGTTGAAAAAACTTAATAGAAGCTGCAAAATATGTAAATGTTAGCGAAGACGTAAAATTACTTTTTTTTAGATGTAAAATGTATTTTAAAATACAAATTCTAAATCAAAATATTAAAGATAATTACAATACTACAAAAGAAAAATCACAAAGATTGTAAAATAAATGTCTAAATAATATTCTTAAAGTCTCAAGTTTGACCCGCTTTTCTTTTATGGTCAAATTCTTTACATTTTGTCGGCCTTTTATATTTAATTTGTTTTGTAGCAATATTTATTTTGTTTGTAATACACACAATCAAATCGTAGATTCATATATTTCTTTAATTAATTTTACAAATTACTTATTAATTTTCAAAACACGTTTTTACAGAAAGTAACTACTTATGACTTATTAGTGCAAGATATGGCATCGAGATATACTTACCGTTAGCAGTTTAAGTTTTGAAGTTGTTCATTACAGTAATGGAACAACATTGCCATATGTTGCATCGTTAAAACATGATACAAACAAGTCCGCTGGCTTTGTCTCACCATGGCGACATGCGCAAAGTCGATCAAAATTAGAACGGCAAGTGAGCATATCTTGTTTGTTATAGTATCATGACTAAGACTTGATCGGACAATTATGTTTATACATCAGTTTAACTGACAACTGATGCGATAAGTTTTAGTATACGCATCGAGCCACAGCTCAGTATCGGTTCAAGTTTTTCCGTCAGTTTTTTGTGTTTACACATTCAGATAACTGACCGTTCGACTAAAACTGATACTGAACGGAGAACTAATCTGACCGTCTAAAAGTACCTTTATGTGTATATAAAAATATCCAAATTTACAACTGTCAAAAATCTATTTGTAATACATAAATACTACGATAATATTACTTATATATAAGTAATTAATATATGAACAATATTTACGATAATTAAAAATTTTTGATTTTATTTCTGCAGATTTATAAATGTTTTCAATAGTATGAACCTTATGGTGATGATATGTTAAACTAAAAAGGGCGATACTTATTTAGCTCTACAGAGCGAATAAAAGTGTGAAAAAATAAATATAAAAGTTAATAGTTAAAACTTTATTTCCAAGCACATTAGGTGAATTATAACTTTGGTCTTATTAACATTCTGGTTCCGTACAAATAATTTTTTTGTGTAAGCGTTATTCTGTCCCAGTTCATTCCTGGACGCAGTATATTCGTGTGAGGCATATTTCGAGGTGATCCATTTAAATTACTACAGTAGCAATTATTATACCACCATGCACCATCTAAAATTAAATAAAATATAATATATAATAATTATGTACATAAAATATAATATTTATGATCATTTAATCAAATTATTTAATAAAATATGTTTACTTATAAGTATTATGTTTATAATAAAATTTGTAATAAGTTTGCGCAATTTAACAACACTGTATCGGAATATTTTTAGACATTAGTAAAGCCTACAATTCAGTATGGAAATACTCAATTTTAAAAATGCTCAACGAATGGAAAATTAGAGGTAATATACTCGAATACATATCAAACTTATTAAAACATAGACAGTTTTAAGTGAGAATAGACGGCGTATATTCCTTAACAATCAAGAAAATGGTATACCACAGGGCTCGAACCTTCGCACAATTCTGTTGAAACTATAAACTCTATTACCTCACATATTAAAGATCCTGTAAAAGGTAGACTATACGCAGGTGATTTAGTTCTGCTTTCTAGATGGAAGAAGCTAATAACCATCCATAACCATCTCGAACAAGTTATAACCCAATTTTAAAGAATGGTTATTCACCAGTGGACTTAAGTTCAATACTCTCAAACTCAAAGCAGTGTGATTACCAAAAAACCACAACCAAAAACAACCAAATATTTTATACGCTAATGAAGAACAGCCCAAACAGTAGACAAAATTAGATTCCTCGGTTTGATCTTTGACCAAAAACTAACTTGGAAGATACATTTAGAATATTTGAAAAAGACATGTAAGCCTAGGATAAATTTGTTACGATCACTGAAACACAAAGATTTGTTAATAAAGAAAACTAATGAATAGCAAAACTATCTCTCTGACGACGAGTTGTCCAAATCCTTGTTCCTTGTAGCCTACTCTATCTATTCTTCGCAGTCCCCTAGGTAATCAACAATCTTACAACAAATTGTTGCGAGCCTATCGTCTTTAATGATCTCCTTCAAATGCACATATCGTTCAAATGATGCTAGCCACTTCTCCTCTCGACAAACTGAATCTCTCGTTCTGGCCTGAACAGCTACTTTAGGAATATAAGTAGAAAAATATAACTTACAATATTTTACTGGATCAGCTTCTGTCAGATACACTAACTCCACGAAAAATTCACTAACATGTACTTTTACTGCTTGCTACCTTTTGGGAACCACCAGAGAGCAATGACTGTTCACCTTGCACACTTGGAAAACAACTCATTCTCTTTTCTTTCTCAAACAACCAGCTAAATTATCATTCTTACAAACCATATCCCACTTTTTCAATCTCCTCCAATCAAAGCTCGTGATACATCCCCGTCTCTTCATTTAGATCCGGAGTTCCCAAGCAGGGGGGCATGCCCCCCAAGGGGGGCATAGAGAGATGTCAAGGGGGGCGGAAGACGTTTGCGATTTTAGAAGGAAAAAAAAATAATCAAACAACATTTACAAATAATATTACAATGTAATGTTTAATTTACACGGATAAAATTAATGAAATTAAATATGTCAACAACCGTTTCAAAACCCGACACCAACGTCGTCAATCGCAGTTTATATAAGTTTCGACAAGCCACTACATGAAATCCGCGCGCAACCCCTCCGCACCGATTCCGCATAACGTCCATTAGGAATTAGGATTAGATATTAGATCATAGGTAGATAGAAAATAGTTGAGTACCTACCGGACGTGCATGAGCATCTGTGACATTCATTCACAGAAATTTACGATAAATTTGACGTTTCGGTATCAATTTGTTGCTGAGAAATTAGTTTGAGTGTGTATAATTATTGTGTTTCACTGTTTAAAGGTAAGTTTGTGTATTTACAAACTACAGTTGTCATTTTTATTTAATTTACTAAATTATTGATTGAGCTAAGATGCGTTCGTAGATCGATCATTGGATCTTTTTTAACACATTACAATCAAACCTACGTGGCGAATTAATTTTAAAACGTTAAATACATTACGTTATTAAGATAAATGGGCATTTATAAATAGTAAAAACATATAGGTATTTTGCTTGTTTATTTATTACTGTTTTATTGTTATAGATTGCAAAATGGCAGCGAACAAAAGAAAGTTTTCCGAAGATTATATTAAGTTTGGATTTACCTTCATAGAAAAAGACGAGTTACAGTTACCTCAGTGTGTGATATGTATGAAAGTTTTAAGTAATGATAGCATGAGGCCCAATCGCGTTGAAAGACATTTGAAGGTACAACATCCTACTCTGGTTTTGAGGACGCAAGAGTTTTTTCTTCTAAAGCAGAATCACTCGAGCGGATGAGATTGGATAAATCGGGAAGTTATCACAAAGGTGTATCGCAGCGTCTCTCAAAGCTAAATTTGAAATAGCCTTTATGATAGCAAAGCAAAAGAAACCTCATACTATTGGTGAAGAATTAATAAAACCGTGTGTCCTAAAAGCCACGCAGATAATTTTAGGAGAAGATGCAGAGCAAAAAATAAAATCTATTTCTCTTTCGGATAATACAGTCAAGTATAGAATCGATGACATTGCAGCAGACATAAAGTCACAAATAATCAACAAAGTAAAATTATCGCCATTTTTTGCAATTAGTTGCGATGAATCCACCGTCATCGATAATTGTGCACAGTTAATAGTGTATGTTCGTTACATCGGCGGAAATATCATTGAAGAAGAGATTTTGTACTCCCAATCTTTGACAGCAGGTACTACTTCTGAGAATATATTTAATTCAATATCAAATTTTGTTGAAAAACATGACTTGGATTGGAATAAACTGATTGGACTTTGCACAAATGGCGCACCTGCAATGATAGGTGTACGATCGGGCTTAGCTAAAAAGCTCAAAGAAAAAAATCCCGCAATGGTTAATACACATTGTGTTATTCATCGGCAAGTTTTGGCTTCCAAAACATTACCACAGAAATTACGCCAGACTTTGGACTCGGCTATAAGGATTGTAAACTACATTAAGAGCAGCGCTTTGAAGAGTCGTTTATTTACTTTACTTTGCGAGGATCTCGATTCTGATCACAAAGTTCTTCTGTTCCATACAGAAGTACGCTGGCTATCCAAAGGCAACATGTTGGCTCGCCTTTATGAATTGAAAGAAAAAGTAATTCTTTTTCTAGAGTTCAAAGAAAAACACGATTTCTTCACAATGTTCAAAGATGACACATTTCAATGGAGGTTGGCTTATTTGGCTGACATATTCGATGCCTTAAATGAACTAAACTTAAAACTTCAGGGCAGTAACGGCACTATAATAAGCAATTATGATTATATTCAGGGGTTCTTATCAAAGCTTCCACTTTGGAATCAAAAAATCTCTTCTGAAAATGTTATGTCTTTTTCTCGGCTGTTCGAAGCAATTAAAAATAATATACTTAACGCAAATTTGAAAGCTGACATAAAAACTCATTTGCAAGCGCTGAAAGACGAATTTCGCCGATACTATCGAGACATCAATTCAGAGTCACCAATATGGCGTATGACAAGAAATCCATTTGTTGTTGATGTGTTCCAATTACCAGAAGAAATTCAGGAAGAATTTCTAGATATGATAGCTGACTCGTCCATGAAAGATGACTTCCATCTCTTGACATTGGAGAAATTTTTGATTAAAAGATTGCCTGTTAATTCAAAGGTTGCCTCTCTTGCTTTACGAATACTAGTTCCTTTTTCTTCAACTTACTTATGTGAGACAGGCTTTTCTCCTCTAGTTTTAATTAAAACTAAACAGCGAAATCGTCTTGATGTCGATAGCGACCTGATGATAGCTATGGCAAAAACAGATCCTAGAATCAACCAAATAGTACAGAATATGCAATCTCAAGTGTCTCATTAATATTTACTTTGTTAAATTTAATTTTTTTATTAAAAACATGTACTAGTTAAATTAAACTTTTAAAATTTGTTTGTTAGAATTAAAATAAAATTTTAAATATATAATGTGCGTTTTTTGTTGTATTTATTAAAAAAGTAAAGGGGGGCTTTACTTTTTTACTGCTGCAAAGTGAAAATTTAATTTATAGTCTGTTGAGCCCCAACAAAGAAAAGGTTGGGAAACCCTGATTTAGATAACAAAAAACAATTTTACCTACAATTATAAATTTCCTAAAAACTATTAACAAACTAATCGGTTTCCACTAATTCTTAAGAACTAACGGAGAAATATATTTCTAAACATCTATTCTGGAAACAGCTGGATTGGACGATAAAGATCTACGAATAATTTCAAATCTATACTGGCATCAAGTGGCAAGAATAAAGGTTGAACAAGAACTGTCGGATGAAATAAATATAAAAAGAGGAGTGAGACAAGGTTGTATATTGTCGCCTTTACTTTTTAACTTATTCGGAGGAAATATTTAAGGAAGCCTTAATGGAGACAACCGAAGGTATTATTGTGAATGGAGTAACCGTCAACAATATTAGATATGCCGACGATACCTTAGTCCTTGCCAATTGCGGAGAAGACCTTCAAAATCTAATGAACAAAATAAAACAGACTTGTGATCAGTATGGATTAAAACTCAACGTTAAGAAAACTAAATATATGATAGTTAGCAAGCAAAATTATATACATGATGACGGTATAAAAGTCGGAGATGCAACACTGGACAGAGTAGAAAAACTCGTGTATCTCGGCAGTAATATCAATGAGAGTTGGGATCCCACCGCAGAAATTAAAAGCCGAATAGAACAAGCCCGAGCTGCCTTTGTAAAAATGAGAAACGTACTTTGCAGTCATGATCTTAGCATTGACCTTAGAGTTCGTATGATATCTTGCTACATATTTCCTGTCCTGCTGTATGGAGTAGAAGCGTGGACCCTAACTGAGGCTATGCTTAAACGCTTGACAGCCTTTAAGATGTGGGTATACAGACGCCTACTGAAAATAAGCTGGGTCGACAGAGTTAGAAATGAGGAGGTCCTTAGACGGCTGAACCAAACAACACAACTGGTCAATATAATAAAGAAACGCAAGCTGGAATACTTCGGTCATATTATGAAACACCCTGAAAAATATGATCTTTTACATCTGATCA